CCTGACATGTGCGCAGTGCATTACGCCGGACTTTTTAGTCAATCATAATTCAACATTTGATTAACCAACCGATGCCAATTAAATTCTGTTTGATTTGTTCATTGACCCTCCGCCACTAAATAAATTCAGTCCGTAGAGATCACGCCATCCCGCCATGTTGCTCTTGTTTAGCATCGCCCTGCTCGCCACCTAACGTGTCGCTCCGTGACAGAGGCTTCCTTCAGAACCGCTGATGCCGTTTCCACCACCACCTCCTATGTGGTCTCTGAAGTTGGAGTTCGACGGCGAAACTTATATAAATTATGAGGATTGCTGTCTTCTGGGTTGTAGCGCCGTGTATTCTGGTAGATTTCCACCAACGTTTCAGAGGTCATACTGCCTCCGTCATCAGGGCGATGACAATCATCGGCGCAACAACCCGGAAGACAGCAATCTTCAGACTCAAATCCTACTTATATAAATTATGAATCTCTCACTCCATGCGTGTTTTATTTCTAGCCAATCACATCCTTCCTGTTTTACTCAACATAACTATAGGTCTGTAATTATGAAGCTCCCCGGGTTTTTTCGCTATTCCACGCGTCTCAGCTTCAGATCTCTTCCTTGGAGTCGGTATTTCCCAACCTGCATTTCATAATTCGTACTTACCTCTCTGCGAAGCTGGGGAAGAGGCCGTAGGAGGGCAGACTGGTCGAGGGGCGCAGCCCGCTAGAGGGCTCCGTCACGACGCTAGTCGGCGTCGAGGAGGTGGACGATGTGACCGGAGTGGCGCCTGCCACTGAAGGACGCGACGGGGACCCTGGCGCCGAAACGCTGTGGACAGGCGTCACATTATTGCCGCTAACAGCCAGTCCGCAGTGTTATTCACATTTTGACCTGATTCTTTAACTGTCCTGACATTTCAAGTCACGCAGCTCCTTTGTTATTCAGACCGCCATCGTGCATGCTCCAGTAGGGAGGCTGATAGCGAGCATCCTCGAACGGACCGACTGGCTGGCGCCCAGAATAATTGTTGTGCCTACAGAACGGGGTGGTTACGGGCTGTCGCGATAATACATTCGAACCGACGCACAGTTTTCTTAAATAATAACAAGTAATTAATGCACTAATTAATATTTTAAAACTGGAATGTACACCACCTCTTCTTTATTCCAATACTGCTATTTTACAAACCTCTGAGGTGGACGCTGTGGCGGCTCTCAAATATAGTCTAGGCCTCGGTGATTTATAGCAGTAATTATGGACGTTTTGTGAAAAGAGAAACGGATTTCGGAGGTGACATTCTCAATTCAAAATTTACGTGTCAGGGAGACGAAACTTTGAGGTTATGACTGACGACTATAAAAATGTGCAAATGTGTACTAGGCCTAATGAAAGTTTAGTACAGAAATGGTTTATTAATTTGTTTAATCATTGGTATATAATTTGCTATCCTCGCTAGACTAAAAAGATAATTTGCTCGCATTACTGCTTGTTGGACCGGAGACTGAGGCCTCTGTACTCTACCGTTGATCCTGGACCAGTGATCTTGTGTGCTTGTGTTCGCTACGACAAGCCTCTTCTTCACGTTGGAATAAATTAGGTGCAAGCATAAGTAGGCCTGCGTTTAAAGCGTAACACTTTCCTACACGGTAAATTAATTTTCCAATTTAATCAGAGTCAGATCTGTGGGGCGCTTAATCCAGTTCCGTTTCACAGTCTCGTGTGTTCCCAGCGGACAGATCTGGCCGCTGCTACTTCACGTGAAAGATAACGGGAGATACTCTACCTCGGGCTGTAGCCGGGTGCGGTGTCGTCCGGGTCGCGGCCGTCCCCCGCTCGATCTCCGGTCTCTGACTCCAACTCCTGTTCGGGCTCGGTGTCCGCGCAGCTGACAGGGGTGTCGGTGTGGTCTCGCGCCGGGAGCACCACCCCGGGGCTGCCGCGGACCGCTTCCTCGCCCTGCACCGAGATTACAGAGGAGAGGTGTGTGACTAGAAGCTTCTCAGAGTCACAGTACCACGTTCATCGAACCCCTTCCTGAGTCACATGAACGTGGTGCCTCTATGGGATTGGTTTTAATTTTATTTAGCGTCTCGGCTTCTGAACATTGCCTTTACGGCTTCCTTGAGCCATCATGAGTTCATTGTGATGGTTGTGTAATTTACACATTTTTGGGGATGAAAGGATAATATTAAAAAGAATCTTATAAATTATGTTTTGCGGATTAGACTGGGTCAAGATGAGGTCCATTGGCTGGTTCTTCTGTCACGTTAATAAACCATCGGGTTTCATAAAAACAGATAATATATTGACCATCTGAGCAACCGTGAGCTTTTTAAGACAACTGCGTCATGGACTTCAGCGATGAGCCAGTCTGATGCTGACAAGGCAGTCAGTTGCTCTTAGAACAGGATTTTTCTCTCAGACTTTTTAAGATGGTTACAATTGTCCTGCAATAGAATAGAATAACATAAAAGCTAATTAATTTTTTTGTTTTTTACTGCATATAAACTGTTCAAAATGCGCCTGTCCCTGTCCTCGCGCCAGTGCGTTTGATCAGGACACGCCTTCTTGGCACGAAACATCGCTTCTGTTTTGTTGTCATTACAAGTGTA